GGCGTGAGAGGAAAAGGCACCCCCGCCCCTTTCTGGCATATCAGAGCCCGTGGGGCCCAGGGTAATAGATTTTGTGTACCCCAGCCTCACGACAAGAGGATGTGGGTGCTAGAGGGCCAGTGCAGGCTCCCCAGTGCTGGGCAGGGAGGGCCAGATCCAGGCAAGCCAGGGGCCGGACCTTCAGTTCCCCACCCCTGCTTTACTGGGTGGCACACAACGCTGCAGACTGGCTTGAAGGGGCCACTGCTTAACCATGACAGTCCTTTCAAAGCTGGCGGCTCCACAGAGAACCTTCCACTGCTCTCTGCAGTCCCGCTGCAGCGGTGGGGTTTCTCCCCGTGGCGTTATCCGGGAGAGCCGCTCCAACAGGGGCTGCTCTGTGTGTGCTCCAGGGAGCTTTAAGACTGGGGATCCGATTCCCTGTGTGTCGGTGCAAGGGGGTGCGCTGTGCAAGTGTAGCCGTCTCCGCCAGGGGCAGGGCGGAGGAGACTTGAGCCCGGCATGTGTAAGTGCGCAATGGTTCTGGAAGCACCCTGAACACTTGACACTTGCCTGGCGTGAGTTTCTGGGGGGCTCTTCATCGCGGGCGTTTTGCTGCTCGCTGTTGTACAACTGTTTTGTCACTAATGCACCTATGAAAACTCCAACTGTAGGAGTCCGTGGGCTCCGATGAGAGAGAGACACATCGCTGGGACCTTCCTGGGGCATGAGTTCTCTATCAGTCCCCAGAAAGCCAGGCCAGCTGCTGGGGGAGAAATGCGAGTTGGCTTGGGTCTTTCATGGAGTCCTCACTCTACTTCAGTGAAATAGCTGTGCAAGGCATTTCTCGCGCATTTCACTTCCCCTGAAGCCCTTTGGCAGAGTAACTAGCATAGAAGCAGCTGGCAATACCTCTCCAAACTTGGCTCCTCCTCGTAGAGTAATAGGCATGTTTCCCATCCCTGGGTCTGTGGTGAAGGCGTTGGGGAGGCAGGATCTGGCCTCACTTCCCGGCTCTACTACAGCCTGCCTGGGGTAACGTTTTCAAAAGAGCCACAGTGACTTAGGCTTCTACGTACGTAAGAAACTGTTGGAAATGGGAGTCCCGTTGACTTTCCCGTACTCGTTCTCTGCCTCAGTTCTTCCTTTGGCCGCCATGGCTGTCCGTTAGCTCTCGGGGGCAGGTGCCACTGTTTGGCGGTGGTCCCGCTTTGTGTCTGTACAGAGCTCCTAGGCCAGTGGCACCCCCGTAGGAAGTGCTGGCATACACACAAATAACAACAAGCTCTGTTCTCCCCCCTCTCCTCCCTTTTCTGGGCAGCTCCATGAAAAGTTTGACCATCTCAAGCGGACGCACCAAGAAGAGAAGAAAAAAGTGGAAGACAAAAAGAAGGAGCTCGAGGAGGAGCTGAGCAACTTCCAGAAGAAGAAGGCAGCTGCTCAGCTACTACAGTCGCAGGCTCAACAGGCTGGTTCTCAACAAACCAAGAAAGACAAGGACAAGAAAAAGTAAGGGGCTGTTACACTACGACCATGTGGCCTTATTCCAGCCTGTGTTGTTTGTTGCATGTCTGTACTTGCTTTTTCCCATCATCAGACTGGAAACTGGGCTTTTTACCAGACTGATCCAATAAAACGCTATCTCCAGGGGGTGGGGCGGGGAGATGATTTTAATTTCCCATTAAAAGGGTACTTCAGAGTTGAATTGATCCCTCTGGATGGTTGGAGAGAGCCATCGAAATGTGGAGGTCTAGTCTGGGATTTCTCAAGCACATTCTGAACCAACTTTGGGACCCTCAGTTCAGACTTCTTACTCTCCTGAGCTGAATAAAAGGGTCCCTCGTTGTACTTCCCTTCCCCGTTTATACTTTAAAGCTAGTTCCTGAGCCTAACACTTTAAGGTTGTGGTTTTAGTTATAAATGCATTTAAAACCAGAAGCTTAACAGCCGTGTCATTTTGACATGGAACCGCCTAGTGCCAAAAAGTGAACGCTTGGAAGCTTTAACTTTTTTGTTTAAACTCTGGTACCAGGTTAATTTTGTTCACGTGGTAGTAATTCAATATAATAAGCTAGCAAAACGAATATATCTAGCAAACGATAATGCCTTGTATTTTCTACTATTGCATACTTACACTCGAAGGCATATTCAACTCTCAAATTCTTACGGGGCTTCCAGTAGGCCGAATGTATCCAAGGCCAGGCTTTGTCCTTTTATTGGCTTTTAAAACAGCTAGATCAGTTCATGAAGGAAAGCTCCATCAATAGCTGTTAGCCAGGATGGACAGGGATGGTGTCCCTAGCCTGTTTGCCAAAACCTTGGCATGAGTGACAGGGGATGAGGATTCCCAGTTCTGTTCACTCCCTCTGGAGCACCTAGCACTGGCCGCTGTGGACAGACAGGACAGCCAGTCTGGCCGTTCCTATGTTCTTCCTGGGCCAACTTTGCTCCTGTTGAAACTGATGGCAAAATTCCAATTGACTTCAATGAGAGCGGAGTATGGCCATTTGAAAACCCATCCTTCGTAAAGCTCTGGACTCAAATAGCTTCCCCGCCTGACCAAGAAGCTGTTTCACTAAAGCAGATGTTGAGCTGTTTTCTAGATTCCTGCTCCTCCCTCTTACCCAATCACACTCCCCCCCCAACTTTAGGAGATTAATTTTTTTAAGTTAATATTTCAATGTCACCTGCTTTTTGCTGCCTTTATTTGTGAGAGACTGGGTTTTTCCCCAGCAGGAACTGTGCCTATTAGCTCACGTTGTACTACATGGTCTGTGTTTTGTTACATGCACTGACTGCCCCATTCCACTTAAAAACAAACAAACCCCAGACCGACTCTGAATTGGAGATGTACAATGGCACCATACGAATTTGACTGAGCTGAAGCAGAATAATAATGGATGAAAAGCTTCAGAGGGGGAGCTGAGTTAGTCTGTAACAGGAAAAACTTAAAAAAAAACCCAGCAGATGTTCTAGTAGCACCTTGAAGACTAACAAAACATGTACCAGCTACGTGTTTTGTTAGTCTTTAAGGTGACACTAGACTATTTGGTTTTTTTTTTCTTTGTTTTAAGAATGGATTGTCTGCAGAGCAGAACAGGGCAAGCTATTATAACTAGGGATGTAAAATCCCATGTAATTGGTTAAAGGAAGATGGGCTGGGGAGGGTGGGGTATGCTCCAGCAGCTGCTCCCAGCTCCATGCGAGGGCTGCTGCCGCAGCTTTCAGAGCTTTCAGCCTCTGTGGCTGCCCCTGCCAGCCTGTGTGGGCTGGTAGCAGTCAGCCCCATTATGGGGGCAGGAGCTATTTCTGGGTACTGGCATCACCTGTAAAGGATGATGTTCACTGGGGAACCATTTAACCGTTTACCTGTTAACATCCTAACTGTGGCTGGTGTTAGGTAAAAAGTACCCATAGCTACTCACTGCCGTTCTCTTGTAGAACAGAAGTCCCCGTTGGATTGCTTCCTGAGAGATAAGCACACGTTTATTTCACTGAAATCATATGCCAATAAGGGGCTGATACTCAGTGAGTCTCTTGTAACACACTTCTTCTTCCACGCAAATAATTGTTGTCCCCAGACCTCGGCAAATGTTTGCTAGCCAATGCTCCAGCGAGCTCTTGCATTATACACACGGCATAGTGCTTTTCCTGGTATGCTGGGAAACACGGTCATAAATAATGAACACTAAAGCTGCCACCGCTGAGAGAAGAATGGATGAAGTGCAATTCATGATGTGGCTTTCGTTCTTCGGTTACGTAGGGCTTGTCTGCATAGAGGAGCGGCTGGTATGCTTTAAATCGGCCCACCCTCCCTTTTTAAAATCTGAACGAACTCTAAAATGTGGGTAAGACTTTAACTGAGCAAACTTCTACCTTCATAAGGGGACTTGTGCAAACTAGTGAGGTGCTGCTTTATTTTGTGTGCGCTCGTGTGTTATTCCACACTGGTAAGTGGCTCTTTACTGGGTGTGATTTTTTCAGAGCACTTAATCCCACCGCAGAAACCAGAGAGATAGAGAGAGACTCCAGCTTCCATTGGTACAAGGATGTGAGCAAAGACTTTTTAAAACAACACAGGGCCGGTGCCTCTCAGATGTAAATCAGTGTAGCTCCTGTGGAGCCAAGCTAGCTTACATTAGCTGCGGATCTGGCCTTAAAAGCTTATGCAAAAACCAGCATAGAGAAAATACAGCATTTTCATGTGTACTGAAAACTCAAACAAAAAGAATCCAGAAAAGCAGATCAGTGCAGAACTAATACAGTAATTCCTCATTTAACACTATAGATATATTTCAGAAAACCATCCTGTTAAGTTAAAATCGTGTTATACAGGGTCAATTTTCCCATTGAAAATAATGGAAAAAGTGGGGGTTGCATTTCAAGCGGTGGTGTCTGTTGGGACTGGGATATAAGGTTGGGGGAGAAAGGGGACTGGGTTACAACAGGCAGGGGAGATGTTTGGCTCTGGGGAAGGGAAGGGGAGGAGAGGGGGATTGGGTTGGGAATATGTCCCTGTGACCTACTCCTGCTGGGACCCACACTGCGTCCGGTGGGGGGCGGGGGGTCGCCAGGAACGGCGCAAGAGGCGGGGGAAGCCCCGTGCAGCCGCAGGCAACGGGCCAGCTGGGGAAATCGTGTTATTCCAGGGACGGTCGTGTAATTCAAAAAACGTTCCCTAAAAACAAAATCTTGCTGTCGCAAAAACGTGTTAAGCAGGCATGTGTTAAATGAGGAATTACTGTACTGTCTGGCAACAACCTTCCGAGATTGCTGAAATTTCTTCCTTGCATGTTTTCTGTAAATAAGAAACTGGAACAAAGGTCCTGCTGGGCATGGCTGTTCCTACATTGTGTTCCCCGAGTATTATGGCATTTTTTCTAAGTAACCTGGAACTTTTGATGACCTTTTCCTATTCAGAAATCTTTTAAATGGCGTTGCTAATCTAATATTTATATACACTCTGCATTTTTTTTTCATCTCTTATGTATCAGACTGTACCCAGTGGTTCGGTTTTGTAACTTTCAGTAGCAGATGTTAGCTGCTAGTTGTTCCTGTGAATTCTTCTGGCACATGCGTGAGATTGGTGTATTGTATACATAATGTTTCTAATTGCCATTACAAACCACATGGTTTCTGTTCTGCCATAGAAATCCAGTCATGAGGAATATGCACTTTGCTTTGTAAATGTGTTTAAAGAAGTATCTGCATTTACCATTCCACACCAGGTTCTCAAATTTGCTCAGACTCTGGAATGAGAAATGTGGCTGTGTCTGCATTGTAGCATATCTTAGATCCTAAAAGCTTTACATTTCCTCTTGCACACTAATGAAATGATAGAGTTCTAGTAGATAAAGGGTTTTTCGGTTCTTATCATTGAACAGCGGTGGACATGATTGTGATGTTTTATACAATTACCAGCGGAAGTCCGGCTAATCCCTGAAATGCTCTCAGCTGGATTTCCCTTATAGCCTCCCCAGAATATTGGACTGCTTCTTTTGAAATGTGGAATTACACATCTGTAAGTTGGACAGCAGAGTCCTTAGCAAAATTCTGCATAAGCCGGTATAATGAAAAAGGTCCAAATTTTCTGCTGGCCTAAGGCCGTTGGAAAGAATTTGATTCTACTGCACGAAAATAACCAGCTGTCCTTGTTACTTTTTTTCCCCTGATGAATTCATAAGTGGAATTTGAGACCTACGGTTAATACACATTTTTCTAACATTTTTAGTGATGATGGCTCTGGTGAAGGAAAGGATTTTGAGAGGGAACAGCTCTTACATGAGCATAAGTCTCTTTGGCTATAGTGGTATATTATTACCAACTTTCACAGTACCGCAGCTCCTGTAAAGCAGGACTCCCCTGTGTTAGCACTGTTACAACTAATGTGCTCAAGTGCTTGCCTGGTTCCCTTCTTAATCCTATAATCTTAGTTGTGGCCTTGGCATTTCTTCATATTTAAAGGTTTTAGTGTTAGTTGCTGGCAAAGAGTGTGATCATGGCACAACCAGAGCGGATCCCTTTTAATAAGATCAGTGAAATGCATCTCGGCTCTTGAGGATCTTCAGCTGCATGCCTGGAGACGTGCTTTGTATTACCTGCAATTAATCAAACAGGCACAGGAGTTAGAACTCTTGTTTGGGCTGTTCCAATATAAAGTCACTTTGTAAAACAGTCCGAGACACTTCCCTTCCAACTTCCTTCTAACAAAAGGAAATTGTAAATGGATGCAAACAGACTCGGCCGTACTTGGGCCTGGCATAAAATCTTAAACCTACGCCCTGTAGCATGTGCAGCTGGGACCTGGACCAGACTGCATTGTCTACGTTTTCAAAAGTGAGGCGTGGCTTAAAGAGTGCCCCACTTGAGAGGTGTTCAAGGGACCTGGATTTCAGAAAATGCCAAGCACCTTCCCTTTGAAAATCAAATCCCTTTGAAGGTGTGGTAGGTTTGGCATGCAAAAACCACTAGCCACTTCTTCAAAATATCGGCCTCAGTCACTATCAAACAGTCACTAACTGTGTGGTTTTCCCCTCCCCACTCAGTTTTTCTTTGCTTTTGCTTGTCATAGAATAGAGCTGACTCCAATTTTAAGGTTTGTCTCACTCTTTTTTAATTTCATAATCCATTTGCATGGGCGTCCACTGAAGCAGAAGGCTGGTATCAGCTCTCCCATCTTCTCTTTTCTTTTGGCATTTTCATTATTTCTAATGGTTTTCGTTTTTGTGTTTTTTTTTAACTTGCAGTGCAAGCTTCACATAAAGCCTGGCCAGCCAAGGATGTTCCTGCATTCACCTGCTTTTGCAGTAATGTGTCTCTGCCATCTGCGTGGTTTTTGTTTTAAACACAAATAGCTATTAACTCATTTAATAATGGAGTGGGTGGGTGAGGCAGCCAGCACCTGGAAATTGAGTGGGGGAAGGGGGTGATTTTGTTTGAAAAGTCAATGCCATTTGTCTCTCTGGTGATAGCAGCAGCAGTCTATCATATCTGCAACTTGGTCTTGAATTGAGAGCACGGACGGTGTGTCATGGGTTTGATCCAAGGCCCCTTAATTAAAGACGCTGTAAGGGGTTCCGGATCAGGCCTTAAATGCTGCAGTTCTCTTTTGTGCACACTGCTCTCTGCAGACAGCAGGCATTCCCCTGACTTGCACTGAATAGCTTCTCACCCCACAACCAAGCCCGTGGATTTCTCTGGAAGTCCTCGTGGTGTGAGAAGCCATTCGGTGCGAATTAGATCTCTGCAGACTTGGCCAAAGTCTCCCCAGTGTGTTTGCTAAACCCATACGTCCACTTAAATGAGTGTTTCTTTGATAGCTGATTTGTAAGACTGTAGCAATCCCATTGTTAGGGGTTTTTTGTGTGTATCTATCAAAAGACCAACTGATGTTGCATGTTTTACTCTTGCATGAGTTTGTTTGTTTGTTTGGTTTTTTTTACACTTTATGGATAATACGACTTTTGGCTTGGCTTTTTGTTATGCGCCCAACAGGTTAAATATCTCTGCAATAATCCTTTTATATTCAGTGTTGTGGCTAACCGTGCAGTGTGCATCAAAATGAACTGCAAATTCCCAAGACAGAAGGTTTTCCCCACTCAATTGCTTTGAAATCAAGTGTCCCCCATCAAACTAACCAGGTGACTGAAACCGAATCCAAAGCTTGAATACGCTGTCCCCAGATTGCCTGAGTACGATGATCATCCCACCATGCTCCATGGACTCCTCTAGGGCCCCATTCAGCAAACCCATGGTCATGCATTGACTTCAGGAAGAGTCCTTATAGGGGTAAATATTTGCACATGCTTAAGCGGTTGCAGGATCAGTCTCGGAACATTCCGTTGTCAGAGAATCATTAAAGGACTTAATTAAAACTCCATTAATATCAGTTACTCTGGGCTCCTAAACACAGAATACAGGTGCTCATTCTCTATAGCTATCTTGCTTGACAGAGACATAATGAAGGTAACATCAATGCACGGCCGGCAAAGGCTTGGGATGCAAATAGAAAAACGGTGACTGAACATCTAGCATAAGCTAGGCCTTTTCTTAGGGCATACTTGGTGAGAAAACTAACCTAACTGTTTAATTTGTATTTTCTATGCCGTTCCTGTTTGGACAGAGTCTTTTCCTTTCTGATACGTTCCAAGAAGTGGCAACCCATGTTTACCCTATGACTTCTGGATCTTTCTCTACTGCTGATGTGCTGCCAGGTTTCCCTCTGCTCCTAGCTAGGTAGTCTCCTGTTTTCTTACTGTAAAGCACACTTGAACTTAACCCTCTTCACCTAATCCCACACATTCCCACTTTGTGAAAGTCTTAACCCAGTGCTTTGGGTAAAAACAAGCAAGGTGGGAATGTGTGGGGGTTGCTTTGTTGGTTTTTTTCTCTCTCCCCCTCACTGAATAAACATGGCTCTTAGGGAGGGGAAAGGATCTCTGGACAAACGGCATGCATTGAAGCAAAGGAAAAAGCAGGGAAAAGCTATTTTGCAGTTCAAGCTAAGTTGTCCCGGGGCTATCACAATCACTGGATGGACCAACAGTGGCAGTCGCTTGAGCCTAACCTTGCTAATTCACGGGGTGTTGAACACATGAAGCCAGTTTCTAGCCAAGGGCTGCGTGTGATCATGTAATATGCACAAGTCTGAAGCTTACATGTTTGCGTAGTGTACTTGCATCAGCTGTGTCTGTGCATGTCCGTTTTTTAATTAACATGGGGGGGGGGGAAACAGGTGAAGTGAGGGGGTTGTGCCAAGTAAAATAATTTAAATTTAACATTAGTTTCTTCTGCTTGGTTTCAAATCCCTTTCAGGGGAAGCTTGGCAGAGGAAAAGTAGCTGGCTATTTTCATTTTGGACATGAAGCTGCTGCCATATGTATTAAATGCTGCTGGGAGGGGCTAGTTGGGTCCCCCGCTCCAAAGCAGTTTTGGAAAGGCTGGGCATGAATTGCAAACTTGCAAAAGTGTTTGGGGTTGTGTTTTTTGCCAAATAGCACACTAACTTTAACAATCCCTGGGCCATGTTTAGCTTGTTACTGCTGCACTTCTCTTTCCTTTCTGTATCTATGCCTTTTTTCACAGTAGTCCCTGGCTCTGCACGGAATAAATGACCCCCTCAAAGCTAGTTGGATGTGCTTTTCACCTTTGCATGTAAGTACAGCAGCAAAAGACCGCTCTGCCCGCTTTTGAAATGAATGAAAGTTGACTTTTTTCAACCAGTGGCAATGAGAGTTTCTAAAATTTTAAGTAAACCACCAGCTGCAGCTGGGATTTTCAAAGGAGCTAAAGGGAGTTAGGCACCTGATTAGCGACAGTAACTCATTTGAAAATTCCAAATTAAGGTGGCACTAGCCTCCACAGAGCCTCAAAAGCAAGTGTGAGGGTTACAGCCATGACTGGTCACACACCAGTGCCTCTGGGAAAGGCGTTGGTCAGTCAATTCTTAGGATGTTATAAATGAGCAGGAATAACCAATGGAGGGCTCATTTCTGGGAATCCAAGTACTCCCTGGATGTGGAGGACACACTGGCCACTTGGGCTAGTTGATGATGGTTCTGAAATGCACTGCTGGAGCCACCTTATTCCCACTGACTTTACAGCTAAGTTTAAAAAATGGAAAATACGGTGGGCGGGAGGGGGTCATGGTTCAAGAGTGTTCCTCTTGCACTCCATGGCAAAACTCTGTTCCTAGAAATGTCAACACTTTTGTGGCTGAGGAGCAGTGGGTTAGCGGTGGGACAGGGAGACTTAAACTACTAAGGAAGTGCAGAAAGTACCCTTTCAGCTGCCAGGCCAAGTGGTGTGCCCCTGAACCCTGGAAGCTTTCTTAAAGCAGTAAACCGATAAGCAAGTAAAAATAAACAAATAAAATAAGGGTTTTAAAAAATGAAATACACGAGTCGTCTTGACAAAGTGGTAAGTGATCTTGTATTTAACAATTCCATTTTTTCCAAGTCATTCTCATTCTATTTTTAAATGGTTGTGATGGAAAAAACAGCAATGTCTGATGTTGGTGTGCAATCATATCAAATCTGTCCATTTGAATCGTGGTGTGATTTGTCGTTCTCACAATGTTAGCAATATCGGTTTCCTCCAAGGAATCATGTGCATTTACAGTATATCTGTGTGAGGCCCTAGTCAGCGTGTAACAGCAGGGGAATATGCAAATATGAAGGATGTTTTTAAACTAACTGAAAATAAAGCTGTGAACAGCAGTAGGAATATTTTGTGTACTTTTTTTAAAAAAATGCTCATAGCCTTAAATGATGGGTTATTTTCAAAGAGCAAGGTAATGTTCTACACCTATGTTTTTGTCAAGATGACTGTGTCCCAACAGCCAGTGTTAATGAAGAATTATACATGTATGTATCTTAAATGTCACTTTTTGATGTCAGAATATTTCATTTTTTTGTAGTCCAAAATGAATCCTTATTTTCCAGCATTGCTCCGTTCCTTTTTATGTGAATACTGCCAACACACAACGTGGGAAAGGGAAATATATTTTTACCCAAACATTGTGTGGCCTTTGTAACTTTCTTTTCTTGTGGTTACTTGGTGCCAAAAGGAAGCGGATGTATGCATGAGCTCTAAGCATGACACTTTCATGCTTGATGTTAACGTAGACGTGTGTTTTAATTGCTTTCTGGAAGCACCAAAGCAGTTCACCAGTGGCAGAATTCATTACCTTTAAAAAAAAAAATTCCCATTCCTTGCTCCTCTTCTCCTGTTCACTAAACAGGTGCTTATTGGGCTGACCACTTCACACGAATCCTGCTCGTGTCCTGCTGCACTAAAACCTGCCTCGGGCTGCTTTCTCCTTCACAGCTTACCTCCTTTAAAATGTTGAATTTTCTCTGTCTCTTTCATTTGATTCTGATCCTTTTTTTTTCTTCTCTCTTCTGTAGCTTCTTCTTTATGTAACCACCATCTTGCCAAGCCCCCCCTTTCCTTTCTCCTAATGGACAGTAGCGCATTAGAAGAGCCAGCGGGAGGTGTACACACCCCTTGGGAGAAGATTTACCTCATTTTTTCCATCATCTCCATCTTGCTCTCTAAACTGTGGGTCAGGGGTGGGTGGAAAGATCTGTGTGCTCCCTACCAGTGCCCACTCGGTCTTCTACAAGATTTTCATTATTGCAGAGAGAGAAAGCAGACAGTAAAACACAGCAGCACACAGCTATTTCATGGGAAACTTTTTTTGTGGGCCACAACCGATACACTGCTATCACTAAGAAGCTTATGGACCCCTGACTGAGCGTGCACTAGCACAGTACTTTTTTTTTTTCCTGTGCCGTTTAAAAACCTTTTCAAGGGAAGCATGGCAGATTCGGAGCCTCTCAGCCAAACAGCCTGAGCTGATGGTTTTGAAAGCAGTGCGTTCATGCTGTGGCTGCTCTGGCACATATTAAGCCAATTATTAAAACAGTTCCTTGGACAGGAATTACTATTTTTAATACAAGGTTGCATGAGCAGAAGAGCTGCTAGTTGATAGTGTCCCATTGATGGAATATGTTCACATTGTCAGCTGGTCTTCTGCCTAATGGTGTGGAAAAATGGGATCTTTTCCTAGGAAGTCCAGCCATGCAGATTGCTGGTTGAGCAGAAGACTATTTTTAAATATATGGAAACCACCCACTAATCATTTATTGCTTTATGCAGTCTTGCTGTGGCATTGGGGCATAACTTTTTCACTTCAGAAGCAGATTCTGTAGAAGAGCTTGAAAAGTGCCAAACTTTTGCTAAAAACAAGTAAGCTTGTAACTTAATTTACATGTGTAAGTCAAGTGCCCTCTAGTGGCAGTGGGTGCTGGTCATTTGAGTAGTTTTAGGTGTTGGGAGGGGGAGAGACTTAATCCGTTGCTGCCATATAGTAGAAGTTCATGGCTGCAGAGCACAAACCACTGCCACAGGGTGCACTGTGGCATTACAAAGGGACTGCAGCTTATTTTAATTAAACACCCTCAGTTATGCCAAACTTGCATAGATGCTTTAATAGTACCAAAAATGCTCCTGAAAGAAGATTTGGATGCCCTATGCTGGAAAGAGGACTGGGGCCGGAACAGCACAACCACCATTGTTTTTCTTCTCTTGTAAGGCTACTCTGATGTATTTCTGTTCTACAGTTTAGTTCATTAGCTTGAGAATTGACACTTGTTCTAGTTAAAAGAAAAAAGCTCAAAAGGTTGAAGTTCCCTAGTCTGGCACACTTGGGACCTGAGCAGTTCTAAACCAGAGACTTTTCCAGACCACAAGAGGTCAATATGGTCTAACAGCATTACCAGCACTTTCAGGCTATGTCTACACTGGTGTGATCTTGCGCAAAAACTCTTTCCTGGAAGAACTTTGGAAGAGCTTTTGCAGAACTACTCTTGTGCTACAGTGCCTCTACACTGGCATATGCTTTTGTGCAAGACCATCCTTGCCAGTGTAAATGCTCTCTTGTGCAAGACAGCTCTGATGACCATTTTAACTATAGGGCTTTCTTGTGCAAGAAATTCATGTTGCCTGTGTACACTGCCCTCTTGTGCAAGAACAGTTGCACAAAAGGGCTTATTCCTGAGTGGGAGTGTCAGTTCTGGCACAAGAAGCCCTGATTTCATACATTAGAACACCAGTTTACTAATAAGAACACACAGCCAGAGCTAAATAACAGCACAGACCCAGGACTGGGGAAAAATTGACCACATGCATGAAGAATTTTACACTAGAAAGTGGTGTGCAGTTAGGACTCTATAGCTGAAGCAAAACAACACAGAACACCACAACACTTTTGCAACGTATTAAGGTTAAAACACAAGGCTTTGAACCATTTCTAAACACAGGATGGTGAGTGTATCGGAATGAGGCTAGGCTATTAATATTTCATTTCTTTCACAAACTTTTGTTGTTTTAATAAGATGTGACCTTTCCATATTAGAGTTGAATTGTATCTTCTAGCACTGTGTAAGCAGCAGAGCAGAGGTGAAAAGTCCCAGCCTGGACAGAGTCAGGCCTCACTTGACTCGTGCTGCAGCCTTGATTTGAGCGTACAGTCTTGCTCAGCAATGCATGTGTTAAAGGGGTTTTCAAAAGCACCCCAGTGAAATGGGTGCTGCTGTACCACCAGCGAGGGAGGATGGGTTTGGCAGTAGCCACCTCCCAAAAAGCCACAAATCATTTCCCCCTGCTCTTCTATTGTGAGAGCATGCAGAAGTGCAGGTAGGAGCAAGCACAGAGGTTAATCAGTCTGAGTATTTTCTGAATAAAAAGATAATGGTGTTAAAAACTGGAGACCAGATTTTGAAAATCTCTGCTCATCACATTTCCCCCTAGTCCTGACAGAAAACCAGCTGCTTACAGCATGGTCCTAAAAACCCGATCTTTCCATGTGCTACTAGGAGCCCTTGCAGCTCATGCAGGAACTACTGGCCATTTCTCACCCCCTGCAGATGGGGCAATACTGGTACAGCACAATTTTTTTTTTTAAACACCCCCCCCCCCCCCCCAGCGTGGAGTAAGTTTCCCTGCTGGCCTGTGTAAAAGGAGTAGAGATCAGCTGAGGGGCAAGAGCTTAGGGGCCTAGCTGTACAGCCACTTGGATAGTCACCCCCTATTACATCCTCATGCAGAGCACCCCCTGAGGCTGCTTTCCAGGCAGCTGGAGGAGCCAGACCATTACAGGAGGGTGCTGTGAGAGACAGGTGAGCCACAGGATACTGGTTCTTTATGGGCAAGGCAAGGCTTGGATTCTCATACGAACTCTGATAACAGTGACAATCCTGCCCCTAACGGTACAGCAGCTCCTCATTCTTCCTTATGGGTTTGTAACTAGTGGTATGGGGCCTTTGGTGTGTGAGCTTGGAAGGCACTTGAGCTCAAATACCAGCATGCCTGGGAGATGGCAACCCATCTAATGTTCCAAGCTGGCACGTTTCTTACTATCCATGTTTAAAAAGTTTCCCACGCTGTTTTGACAAGGAATTTTGACAAAGGGTGGGAGTGACTCTCTCACTCCTCCCCTCCCCCATCACTGCAGCTGTTCAGACAAGGCACACATTACTGTTCTTAATAGGGGGCGAGACGACAGCTGCCCACACTGCTGTGGTCCGAGGGGCCTAGAGCCTGTACTGCACCAGGCAAGGAGCCCTTCCCCAGGGTTTTACAGCAGCTACTAGAAGCAGCGAGGCATTAAATGAATAGTGGTTCCCAGAAGCTGCTCTTTGGCTTATTTGCCCCTCCCTTCTGGAGATGAGCCTGTTGTGAGAAGACGCCATCTAACACCCCACTGACTTCAACAGACCCACACGGAGGTGCCCCCACACAATGAGTTCTCTGTACAAAGAGCTATAGAATGGTGCCTACCTGTATCCAGGCATGGCTTCCAGCTGGTGCAGGGTGCTAATGTTCCCTGTGGGCACAGTCATTGCAGCTGGCCTGACATTAGTGCTGCATCACCTTCCTTCCCTGAACGTGGCCAAGAGCCTGCTTCCCTGGAACAAAATGAATCAGATTTGGTATCTCACCTACAACGGAGGTGACACTAGCTTTAACATGGGCTGTGTCATGGGTAACAGGCTTAGGGATAGCTGGCAGGGGCATGAAGTGACGTAGGGCCAGTAGCACCCATTGAGCTATGCAGATTTACACCAGCTGGGCTCTCCTGGGCTTTCTGCACAAGAACAGCTGTTCTTGCGCAGGCTTGCAGAGTGTCTACACTGCAGCTGCGTTCTTGCGCAAGTAAATTTACAGTAAAGCATCAGAAAACAGGGCTTCTTGCACAAGAGTTAGTCCTCTCGTGCAAGAGCTCTTCCACAAGAAGGTAGTGTGGACTGGCAACAGGGATTTCTTGTGCAAGAAAGCCTTATGGCTAAAATAGCCCTCAGAGCTTTCTTGCACAAGTGTCCACACTGCCATGGCTGTGTGGACTACTCTTGTGGAAGACCTTTTGCACAAGAACGCTTGTGCAAAACAGTTCTTGCGCAAGAAGCCTACAGTGTAGACGTAGCCCTGGAGTATTGCGGTTAGAACCCCTGATCTATTTACAGTGCTTGAGCACCATTCGTCTGTAAGCCAGCAGTTCCTTGTACCTTGCACCACCCCCATTGATTGTTTCTTCTCCCTCCCCCCCCAGCACACACAAAGTCTGTGCCCCAAGGAGCTTACAGTTTCAGTAGTGGAGTGGCTGGGCTGTTCGCACGGTGCCTAGCACAGCAGCAGGATCCCACTCTGGGGTGAGAGCTCCCAGGCATTACTGCAACCCAAAAACTGCAGCACTCTCGTATGGAGGCCTTAAATGCCAGGAAAACCCTGAGAGCAGAGAATCCAGCACTCACTACCGGTGATGGTGTAACTGCTAAGCCACAGCATTAGAAGGGAGATATGAAACAGACTCTTTGCAGTCAGCACTGCAGGTTCTGCACGCTTTAGGGGAAATCAGGCTCCTTCCAATGCATTTAAATGCTGAGCGTAATTGTGAGGTGGCCATGGCACAGGCACTCTGAGGCAATGTTTGTACAAATTTCCCATCCATGCGT